CCTCACTTTGGAGCAAGCCACTTAACCTCTCCTCACCTCAGTTTCCCCATCTTTAAAGTGGAGACATTACCTACCTCACAGGGTTATTGGGGGAAAGTCAGATAAGTTAACATATGACGTGCTTCACAGACCCTTAAAGCTCTCTGTAAATGCTAACTATCAGAAATCATGGACCCTGACCATCATTATAGCTTAGGATTTTTAATCAGAGAAGGCATAGGGCATAGCCTAACAAGAACTCATGATGTTGGAAGAGCAGGTTTCAGAATTAAGAGAAAAACTTTTTTAGTTGATACTGGTTTCCCCAGGTTTCCCAGAAAGTGTTCCTTTTTTTTTTTGCAGTACATTTCATGTATTCATAATTTATTCAGCCATCCCCCGACAGATAGACACACCCTCTTAGTTTTTCATTTTTGCTGCTACAAAAAGAGTTTCTGTAAATATTTTTGTGAAAATAGAGCCTTTTCTTCTTTCCTTGATCTCTTTGGGATATACACTGTCAGTCAATAAACATTTATTAAGCACCCAGTATATGCCAGGCATTGTGCTTAGCATTGGTGGTACAAAGAAAGGCAAACAACAGTGCCTGCCCTCCAGGAGCTCACAGTCTCATGGGGGAGACCACAAATATGTACAGACATTAACCCATACATAGGATAAATAGGAAGTAATTACGAGAAAGGTAGATCGAGAATTCAGAACGGTTGGGAAAGGCTTCTTGTAGAAGATAGAACTTTAGTTGGGACTTCAAGGAAGCCTGGTGAACCAGTAGTGGGAGCTTTCCAAGCACTGGGCGGCTGGGGGCAGGGAGCAGTTAGAGAAAATGCCTGGAGCTGAGAGATGGAGTGTCTTGTTTGTGGAATAACCAGCAGGCCAGTGTCACGGGATTGAAGATGTGCCCAGAAATAAGGTGTTAAGAAGACTGGAAAGGTAGGAGGCTTCTAGGTTTTGAAGAGCTTTGAATGGCCAAACAAAGTATATTGTATTTGATCTTGGAGACAAGAGGGAGCCACTGGAGTTGAGTAAAGAGGTGGCAATCACTTTGGAGGCTGAATGGAGGAATGACTGCAGTGGGTAGAGCCTTGAGGCAGGTACAGCCACCTGCCCCACTCCCCCCACCCCACCCCACCCAAAAAGCAGGCTGTTGCAGTTACCAAGGCGTGAGGTGATAAAGGTCTGCACTAGAGTGGTAGTAGTGTCAGAGGAGAGAAGAGGGCATATTGGAGTGAGTGATGTTGTGAAATCAGCAGACCTTAGCAACAGATGGGATGAAAGACAGTGAGGAGTCCAGGATGGCTTCTAGGTTGTAAGCCTGAAGGACTGAGAGCATGGTGTTGCCCTCTACAGTAATAGGGAAGATAGGAAATGGGGAAGGATTGAGGGAAAGATAATGAATTCTGTTTTGGACAAGTTAAGTTGAAAGTATCTGTCTACTGGATATCCAGTTCAAGATGTCTGAAAGGCAGTTGGAGATGTGAGATTAGAGGTCAGCTGAGAGTTTAGAGTAGAATAGACAGATTTGAGAATCATGGGAGCTGATGAGATCACCTAATATTTGTCATCAGTCAGTCAAAGGGTATGCAGAGTTTTCTGACTCCAGGAGTCAAAGTTGATGTAGAAATTCACACCAACAGTTCTTACCCACTTCCCTGAAGCCCTTCCAACAATATTCATTTTCCCTTAAATTTTTTTTTTTGCCACTGTGTTGTAAGGTGGAACCTCACCAATTGCTTTAATTAGCATTCCTGTAATTATTAGTGATTTGCATATTTTTTCCCCCACATTGTTTTTTAGCTTGGATTTCTTTTCCTAAACAGCATGTATTCTTTGATCAGTTACTCCAGTTGGGGAATGATTCTTGTTCTAAGAAGTATGAATCAGTGGTTGGTTTGTTTTTTTCAGATTCTTATGTATGCATGTGTGCATACATACCTATCTTAGAAATGAAATCTTTATCAAAGAGGTTTACTACAAAGTTTCCCCCCCAATTTTCTTTTTTCCTTCTAATTTAAACTGCATTGGTTTTGTGTAACCTTTTAAATTTTATGTAATTAGAATTGTCTACTTTATCTTCTGAGATCCACTCTATCCATTATTTGGCATGAACTCTTGTAGTGGCAAAAGTTATTTTTCTATTGCCCCCTCTATGTGTATTTTGTATTCTTTTGTATTTAATTTATGTATCCATTTGGAATTGATTTTGTTGTGAGATTTTGATCTAGATCTAATTTATGTTAAACTGCTTTCCAGTTTTCCCAGCAATTGTCAAATGATAATAAAAGTACTAATTGCTAGCATTTATATAGTTGCAAAGCATTTTACATAGGTTACCTCATTTGATCCTCATAAAAACACTACGAGGTAGGTGCTGTTATTTTCCCCATTTTACAGAGGAAATGGAGACCAAGAGAGCTCACTAAGAGTGACTTGCCCAGGATCACACAGCTAGTAAGGGTCTAAGGAAGCATTTTCACTTGGGTATTCTGGACTTTGTATTCTGTCCACTATGTAGCTGCCTCTGAATAGGTGTTTACCCCCAGTAGGGTTATCTTTGGGTTTATTAAAAATTATGCTACTGTTTTTTCTTTTAGCTTTTTAATAGTGTGTATCAATTCAGCTGATCTATTTGTTTTTTGACTAGTGTCAAATAGTTTTGTAATATTGTTTGAGATCTGGTTCCCCTAGATCTCTTTCTTTCCTACCTTTCCCCCCTATATTCCTTGATATTCTTAATCTTTTGTTCCTATAGTTGAATCTTGTTATTTTTGCTAGCCCTCTAACAAAATCCTTTGGCAATTAGATTGGTATGGCATAAATAAGTTAATTTAGTTAGAATTGTCTTTGTCACATTGGCATAGCCTAGCAGTTACTATTTCTCCCATTACTTAATTCTGTTTTTATACTCTGAGCTCCTGGGTGTATCTTAGTAGAAGGACCTCTCCCCCCTCCAAAAAATAACATATATATTTTATGCATTCTGTAGTTATTTTGAATGGAATTTCTCTTTTTATTTCTTCTTGCTGGGTTTCAGTCCTTCATTTTATAGATAGCCAACCACCTACCTAACAGTGAGCACCATTTTTTATGTTTTGTACATATTACCAGTAGTCAGTTTTGTAGTCTTAATTCTATTAATACAAACATTAGCATTGCTAATCACTTGTTCACGCAGTATTTAACATGCTTTATTCTATTAACTCAATGTGGGAGAATTTGGCTCTTAAAATTACTGGCTTTGTGAAGTTCAGACCCTAGCTTGGTCTAGCTCTTTGTAAGTAACCTCTGCTCCATGAATTTTTAACACTTTTCTGTAGCTACTCGAATTCTTTCCCTATAACCATGCCTATTCCTTCCAGGCTTTGCCAGTGGTTTCACGTTTTTAGGACCTAAAGTACGCTGAAGATTTCCTCACTCAAATAATTTTAGGAGCCCTTGAATCCTTCTTTTTAGTGCCATTCAGCTGTAGCTGTTTGTTTGGTAGTAACTATTCCTTTTTACTCTCTTGTACAATTTACAGTTAGTTTAATTTTCTTAGAATTTTCTTTAATACAACAGTTTCCCTTTGGGTTAAGTCCCTCAACTATCATGTACCTTCATGTTAGCTTAATTGCCCTTGCTTTTTAAAGAGTAAACTGCCAACTCTTGCCTCTGTATGTTTCCAGCCTGGTGGTATCTGATCCCTTCTTTCTTCTTTCACTCCTCTGGCATAAATTCTTGCTCACAGGTCTGTGTCTCCATGTATCTTTTTCCTAGTTTACTGTATCCACAAATGCCTTTCAGTAAGTAATCAAGAAAGACATAATTCTCTACCTTTGTGATTATTATTTATTTATACAGGTTATTATACTGATTATTAATGTTATACGCATTATACCATATTAATACCATGCTAATTAATCATTACTGCTCATAATAACGAGATCAAAAAACAATAATAATACAGAAACCATGTGGTCAGCACAGACTCCTTTAAGAGGAATGCTCATTTTCCTTGTTAAGTCAGACTGTGTGCTAAATCAGAGAGAGCTGCTTGTTTGCCACAGGTTCATGAAGAACAAGGCTGCATTCTAAGCTTCAACCTTGGACTCTCACATCTTTCCTTAGATTTTTGTCTGCCTCGTAATTGCCTGTAAGTGAATGATTGCCTGGTTGTCTAGTGCTCCTCCAGCCCCTAGACTAAGCAGCAGGGAGCCAAACTGCAGTGGCTGACAGGCAGAAAGCACCTATTAGGTTGATGTAGAGAATAAGTCCTAGGGAGTTCCTGGGGCGCTGAGGTTTAGTCATGTGCCCAGGGCCACGTAGCCAGTGTCAGAGGATTTGAACATAGGTATTCTTGACTCCAGACCTGGCACTTTATCCACTATATGTTATGTTATTTTACTGGGATCATTTCTTTTTCTTTCTGTTTTTGGTACAGACATGTGATTCCAGTGGTGTGGACCACTACTGGTGGGGTAACTCCCTTCATTAATACAGATCTGTAATTCATCTGTAACTTAGTTGCGATGGTCTTAGTTGCTTTAGTAACCTGAGAAGTTAACTAGCTTGTCTCCTATAACATAGCTAGTGTGAGAGAGAAGATTTAAATAAAGGTCTTCCTGACTCCAAGGCCACCATTTATCCACTAGACTCCACTACTTGTAGTAGAGGCAAATATAGAGAGTAAAAAAGAAAATAATACTGAAAAGCTCATTCTAAACTAAAAGCTCATATTTAGTTTTCTTAAATCATATAGTCAAAATTTTCCTTACAGGTATTGATATGTCTGTTGCTTTGGTCTGTTATTAATAGGTAATTTTAATAAAGCCTTATAAATTTGAATTTGAAGAAGTACAGGTGGTAGAAATGAAAGCAATTTTTTTTAATTAGCAGATACCACAACTGTTGACATATATGTTTGCTTTTTTTTTTTTTAACAGGTTTAAGCGGAAATCCTGCAGATATAGAGAGGAGGGAAGCAGTGTTTGGAAAGCACTTTATACCTCCTAAAAAGCCAAAACATTTCTTCAATTAGTATGGGAAGTATTACAAGATGTTACATTAATTATATTAGAAATTGCAGCCATAGTATCATTGGGCCTTTCTTTTTACCGGCCTCCAGGAGGGAATGATGCACGTAAGTGAACTGACCCCCAAAATTATTTAAAATGTAGTGTTACCTTTAATAAGTAATTATTACGTGGATACTGAGTGTTTTGCTAAAGAATATGAAGGAGAAGGACAGTGGGAAAAGGGCACATTTCTATTCTCCAGTTTTGAATCTTTTGAATACCAGTATTTTGACAAGAACTTAGCCACTTTGCAAGTGTTTTGTCAAATAGTTTGTTTTTCCTTTTCTACTTGCTTTTATAAATATTTTAGTGTGTATGAGTGTTGGTCTTCTTTATTTGATCTTTTAGGGGAATAGTAATGGTGTCAGTATGTGGCAAAGGATATGCATCTTAGTCATTTTAGGGACATAGTTCTAATTGCTTTCCAGAATGGGTGGACTAGTTCACCAACAGTGTCTTAATGTACATATTTTCCCACAACCCTTCCAACATTTTTGTTTTTGTCAACTTTGCCCATCTGATGGGTGTAACACGGAACCTTAGAGTTACTTTAATTTCCATTTCTCTACTTATTAATGATTTTGGACCATTTTAAAAATATGGCTATTGTCAGCTTAGAAAACTTCCTCTTTATGTCCTTTGTTTATCACTCAGTGATTCTTGTTTCCTTTAAGAAATAAACTATTAGCTGTTTAAGACATTGCTTAATTTCATCATTTCAAAAAATAATTTTGTTGAAGAGATTATATTATTGATTATTTTCATGCATTATTTTATTGTGTCCCTGAATGAATACTATTACATTCCCCACAGTATTTGTCCCAAACATTCTCTTCTCTCCTCAAATCATCTGAAACTACTCCCTCTCTGGTTTATAATTTACCAAATAAACTGAGGCTCTCTGTTACTAACACCCTCTTTTCTCCTATTCTGCACCTCAGATTGGCTCAGCAATCTGCCTCTGTTCTTTTGCTGCAGTTTCTGAGGAAAACATGCTTTTTCTCTCTGCCAGGACCAACCCCAATACTTGTGCACTGAACCTAACTACTTCATCTTCTTTGGGAAATTGCCCCTTCAGTATCATCTTTCTCTTCCTAATCTGAAGTCTTTATCCTCTGGCTTCTTCCTTAGGGCCCACAAACATGGTCAGATCTCCTCGATGCTTAAAAATAAACCTTCACTTTACTTTACTCTGACATCTCCTCAACCTATTGTTTGATATCATTCCTATCTTTCACTTAAAAAATCCTAGAAAATCTTCCTCTTCCTCACATACTTCCTAGCCTCTTGCAATCTTAACTCAGCAAGTTTACAAACTGTTCTCTCCAAAATTACCATTAACCTCTTTCATTGCTAAATCCAGCGGCCTTTTCTCAGGCCTCTTTCTAGACTTCACATTTGACACTGTTGACCACCCCCTCCTTGGATACTCATTCTCCAGTGAGTTTTCAAAATAATGCTCACCTACACATCTAAGTGTTCCTCTGTTGTCAGTTTCTTTTGTTGCATTGACTTCTATGTTCTATCCTCTTGGGGGGAGAGGGGTCTAGCCTAGGACTTGTGTCTCTCTAGATTATATTAAACTCCAGTGAAATTCAGTTGTCATCTTAGGTGTAAATCCACATTTCTAGCCTCATGTCCTTCATTCCTGTCCCACATCACCACCTACCTCCTAAATATCACTCTCTAGATATCCCATAGACATTTCAAACTCCACGTGTCCAAAATAAGACTTTATTATCTTCCCAATGAACCCCACTCGGTTGACTGTATTGGTCACTCAGGCTCACAAACTTGGAGTCATCCTTGACTTCACTCTCTCTCACTCCCCATTCACGTCCAGTCAGTTACCCAGTGCTGTTGATTTTATGTCCACAACACTTCTCACATTTTTGCCCTTCTCTCTGTTCAAACAGCCACCATCCTGATTAACTTGGATCATTGTAGCAGCCTACTTACTGAGTCCCTGGTTTCTTCCCTAAGCAATGTGTCTTCAACACTTCTATTTAGAGACCAGCCTGACCGTGTCATTCCCTTACTCAAGAATCTTAGATCACTGATGGTGTCTCTACATGGTTCAGTCCCTTCACAATTCAGGTTGAAACTGTATTTTCAGACTGATTTCACATGATCCCTCTCCTTTGCTGATGGTTCCAGACAAACTTGCTGTACCCCATATACCTCATTCCGTTTTCCACCTTTGCCTCTGCCCGCATGTCTAAAATGTATTCCCGTCTCACCTCCACCTAGCTTTTTTCACTCGGCATTAGCTTCTATTGTCTTTTCTGATCTTCTTCAAGGTTGTTTGTTTTCTTTGTCTTTATTCCATCTGTTTTCTTATATGTGTTGTTTTCCTTATAGCAAAATATCCCTCTTGGAGTACAGGGACACATTTCTTTTTTCATCTTTTATCTCAGTACTCAAGCACAGTGCCTGGAACGTAGTAGGTGCTTAATAAATGATTGCTGAATGATTTCTGGAAAAAGTTGGCACAGTACAACTTCACCTTCCTTTCACCCTTCTTCTGTCAACCGTGCTCTCTTTCCTGCTTTAGCCTTCATTGGGATGTTTCTACTTACTCAGAGTGTACAAAAGCAGAAGAAAAGCTCATCATCTGGAAAGGAACAAGTGACCTAAAATGAATACTTCTAACAGATTAAAATGTAAGAAGATAACTGGCTTTGTTGACTACAGTCATGTTATTATGTTTAGTGAAAAAACAATCTTATCAAAGGTTCTATTCATCATGTCAGTTAAGTTGTACACTATCTCTTCCCCATTTCTTCCTATATGCTACTGCCAGGTTAAAGCCAAGGCAGTGTCATTACTAGAAAATTACAAAGAAATTGGGCAGGAATGAGTCTTTTGAAGCAGGAATGCTCTACCTCTCCCATTTTCTTTTTAAGCATTGTGTTCTCAAGTTATATTAGTCCCAAATAACTGACTTATAGCCTTCCTTGCCATATTCTTCAGATCTTGGAAGCATACTAGAAGCCTAGTCAAGAGGGTGCTCAGAAATAACGGAATCATAGGGTTAAGGCATGAAGGGACCTTAGGAGACATCTCATTGATGCCTAACTTGAGGTTGGGCTGAGAAGTGGGAAACTTGAAACAGAGTTGGTATTTGAAGTCAGAAAATATGGTACTTTCCCCAGGCAGATTGCATTCTATTTGAGGATTACTTTGTTACGAACTTGTTCCTTTACATTAATCTGTAATTTTAACTGTGTGTTGGACCCACGCAACTGGTCCTCTTTCTGCTCTTTGTGGTCAGAATGATCCTCATGACAAACCTGCTGGTATTTGAAAACTGTGGTCATGACCCCTCTGTGTCTTCTCAGCTCTGGGTTGAACATCTCCGATTCCTTTAACCAGTGCTCATGGCATGGTTTTAAGTGCTTTTACCATCTTGACTGTCCTCTTCTGGATGTGTTCTAGGTTGTTAATGTCCCATCTGAAATATGATATATCAAACCTGACACTTTGAGATAACATCTGAACTGGGTCAGTTATAGTAGACACTTCCCCTTTCCTCATTATGATCACTGCTTTGATTAATGCAGCCTAAATCACTTTTAACTGTCATTACATATTTAATTGACATACTGTCTGTCTTCAAGTCTTGGATAAAAATATTAATCCTACTCTTTGAATCAGGCAACCAGCTAGTTCCATATCCTGTTAGTTGAATCTCTCTGTCTTGTCCACAGGGATCTCAGAGGAGTCTTTGTCATGTGCCTTGCTACTGTCTAACTAGACTGTGTCTGGGGCATGTGGTCTACTAGTAACCCTGTCAGAAAAGGAATTTGGGTTGGCCTGGAGTCACTTTATTGACAAACCCACACTTGCTAATGTTCCTCTTTCTGAGTGCTCACAAATCATCCTTTTAATAGCCCTTCCTAGGATTTTGACTAGAATGTCAGGTTCACTGGCCTGACATTTCTCAGGAATCCATGTTTTGAAAAACCACATGAAATTCTTCAGTCCTGGCACCCTTCTCCTGTTCTCCATGGCTTGGCAAAAGATTGTTATCAGTGCTGCAACGGTTCTATGCATAAGCTCTGTTTCAAGGATCCTGGTGTGCAAATGTTAGGAACAGGTGATTAGAACTCATAGAAGAGGGCTAGGAGTTACCTTACTGTTGTTTCTTCACTTAGCTTGATTTTCATTTGTCTCTCACCTCTCTTCTGTTCTGTCCTGCCAAATTTTAGGATACTTCTCTTTGATAGAGATGACAGAAGCCAAGTAACAGTTCAGTAGTTCTCCATGTTCATGATCCATTACCATTTTCCCATCCCATCCAAACCTCCATCGTCACAAAACTTTAAAAAATCCGCATTATTGTCCATACCATTATTCACAAGCCTTGGTTCCTGCCCAGCGTTAATCTTCTTGATGGAATACTTACAGGATTTCTCTCATTCTTGATGTTGTTCCCCCTTACCATCTGAAAAATTTTTTTTCTAGCCTCTGCCCCGCAGATTTTCACCATGCAGTCACCTTGGTTTCATTAGCCACTTCCTCTGCTCCAGGCCCTACTCTTCCAACTCTCAGTCACTTTCATTATCAAAATGATTCTTGAGAATCTCTTGTCTGTCTCGTGAGCTGGATTAAATACAGCATATATAGGAAGCAAGAGGTTAAGAGCTCTAGGCAGCCCTAATAAATATGAAGTGTAGACAGCACCTGGTCACTGACTTCTGGAGGGATGACACAACCACAGATAACTTTGTTAATACGTTGGCAAAATACAAAGCACAGTTCTTACCAGCTAGGGGATAGTATTATGAAGACTTTGTTTAGAAGCTAGATGGGGATTTTAATGGACATTTAGGGATTTATCAGGCAATGATCAAAATAGAGGGAGGACATTGCAGGCAGTGACATTTAATTCCCTTTTAGATCTTCAGATAATTGGGTGATCTCCCAGCTTTTTGAAAATCTGCTTTCTTCAAGTAGATACGAACTTACCCCAGCACTGTCCTCCAAATCCTCTGTGCTCTAACAACACAATCACTTTCACCAAGTGGGTGTATATTTTCTCCTTTACCAATTCAGTTCTTTCTTGGTCCAAACTAGTTTCTTTGCTTTTCAAAACTAGTATTAGCAGGCCAATCCAGGAATACCTTTAGCAGAGACTTGGACTTGATGCTTGGGGTGTTGAAATGCCCTATCAACATAACATTCAGTTTCTATGCCAGCTTTCTGATCTGTATCAAGAGGTCATCATTTTTTCTCTGCCTAGGCATTCTGATAAAGTGTCATCACATCTCATTTCATCCTCTTACCCAGATTCCCTCCAGCATACTTCCTTCTCAGGAGGCAGCAGGCTACAGATTTCAGATTTGACCCCAACCCTGAAGTGACCATGGCTTTTTAACTTCAGAGCTTCAGTTTCCTCATCTTTAAAATGGAGATAATAGCTTGCCTACCTAATGAGTTTGTCATGAGAGTCAGATGAGATTATCTAAAAGTGTTTTCTAACCTCCAGTGCTATTTTATAATTCTGAGGCCCTCCTTTCTTTCTTCAGTGTGTTGAAAACTATGAATTGAAAAAGTATACGTGATGAAGTAGTTTGAAGTAAGCATCAACAGAACTCCTTCAAAGTCTCAGACTTGTGCAGCTGCTGGAGTGAAACTATCGCATCTTGAGCACCACAGAATAGAAATGAATTTCAAATGAAACAACATCATGCCTTCTGAGGGGCCTTGCAGAGATTGAGACCAATTTTTAAAATATTTTTAGAAAAAGAATAAAAACATCATTATAATTAAATGTTAATTCTTTGGAGCAGTTAGGTGGCGCAGTGAATAGAGAGCTCTTGGAGTGAGGAGGACCTGAGTTCAAATCCAGCCTCAGACACTTCACACTTACTAGCTGTGTGACAGTGGGCAAATCACTTAACCCTGATTGCCTAAGCCAAAAAGAAAAGTTTAATTCTTTAAAATGCAGATACTTCTGTGGCACATGTTATCAAATAATCTCTTATTATCAGCTTTCATCATTTTTTGAAGGCTCTTCCATTTTTGTTGACATAGTAGGGAGCCACTGGATTTTATTGGATTTGAAAACCCTTCTCTTGGCATTGTGGAGGACTGACTGAACTGGTGAGAAACTCAAGGCAGAGAGACCAATTCAAGGAAAGTTTTTGCAGTCGTTTAGGTGAGAGGTGATGAAGGCATGAACACCATCATAGGATGTGGGGCAGAAGTGGTAATATTGGGAAACAATTAAATGTGCAAAGCAAAGGAGACTTTAGAGTGGAAGATAATGCTTAGGTTAGAAACCTGGGAAACTGGAAGAATAGTGGACCTTTTCACAGAAATGGAGAAGTTTGAAAGGAGTAGATAATGAGTTCTGTTTTGGACATATTGTGCTTGAGATGTCTATGGGACATCCCTTTTGAAATATCCAGTTGGCAGTCGGTAGCAGTAGACTGAATCTCTTGGAGACACTGATGGATATATAAATCTGTGAGCAATCTGCAGAGGGATGATAATTGGATCCATGGGAGCCGATAGTATAGATATGATAGAAATAGTATAGAGAGAAGAATATGTAGATCAGAGCCTTGGGAAACAGCTACAATTAGAGACCAATGGTATGGATTATGAACCAACAAAGGAGACTGAGAAGGAGCTGTCCCAGAGGTAGGAGAACCAGCAGAGAGTAAAGAGGATCCAGGAGACAAGGGGTCAGTAATGTCAGCTGTAGCAGAGGTCCAAAAGGTTGGGCTAGGAAAAGACCATCAGATGTGACAATTAAGGTGGCTGGTGACATGAGAGCATTTTCTGTTGAGTAATAGGTTAGAAAGGTGACTAGAGGGTCAGTGAATGAGAGAAGTGGAGGCAGCAAGCATGAGTTTTTTTGGAGTTTGGCTGAGAAAGGGAGGAGAAAAATAGGGGAAGTTTTGAGGGAGAGATAGTATTCAGTTGGGCCTTTGTTTTGTTTAAGATAGAGAAGATTTGGGCGTGTTTGAAGGCGGTAGGAAAGGAGCCAGTAGATAAGCAGAGGTTGAAGGTTAGAAAGATGGGATAGTTGGGGTGGTAATCTGCTGGAGAGAATGGGAAGAGAAGACATCAAGGGCGCAGATAGAGGAGTTGACTTTGGCAAGGAGGAAGGCCATTTCATTTCAAAGGCTAGGGAAAAGGAAAAGAATGGGTGATAATGTTAAGAGGTTTGGAAAAATGGGGAAAGAGGGAGCTCAGGTGGAATGGACTCAGTTTTCTCTGTAAAGTGTGAGATCCTGGGAGAGGGGCGAGCCATTTGAGAAGGAAAGTTTGGAATAGCTTCTGTTGGAGAGTCACCAAATACATTTTTTGTTGTTCAGTCATTTCTGTCATTTCTATCTAACTCTTTGTGACCCCATTTAGGATTTTCTTGGCAGAGATACTGGAGTGGTTTGCCATTTCCTTCTCCAGCTCCCTTTACAGATGAGGAAACAGGCAAACTTGCCCAGGGTCACACAACTAGTAAGTGTCTTGATGCTGGATTTCAACTGAGAAAGATGAATCTTCCTGACTCCAAGCCTGGCACTGCACCGCCTAGCTGCCCGTAAGAGAATAAATTAGATGGGAATAAAAGGATTGCTTTGCTGCAGGGAGAGCTCAATTGAAGTTGGATCACCTGAAGAAGTTAGGCTGCTTCCATATTACTTGACATGCATCTAATTTGATTTTCATAAGAAGACTGTGTGTTTGGTAGTAAACTGTTGTTCGCTTCATAAAGTTGAGGACCTTAAAGCCAGAGACTTCACTGATTTCCCCAAGGTTACACAGCCAGGTCAGTGGGGCCTAGGGTTTAGATCCAGATCATCTAATTCAATGTCCAGTAAAAATTGTCTTCAGCATCAGTTAACAGGAGCGTACTCTTTTGACATTCAGTTAGTCCAGTTGTATGATCTGAGTTGCATATGTGAATATGTAGATTGAAAGCCTGATTTAGTGTGTGTTTCTGAGTAGCTAGGTGCTGCTAGAGGAAATTACCCCAAAAAAGCAGTGTTTGAGCCCAGGGTGGACTTCTTCTGTCAACCTTCTACTGGTCCCTCACTCTGCTGTTGGACAATACTTATATTCAACTTGTAATGATTCTCCTGTTGCCCACAGAGGTTATTTATAGATTGTCATCTTTCTTTTAGCTCTTATCCTTCATTTCAGCAGAGATTTTACTTTATACTTATTGAGATGGAATCTGGTCCAAAATAAATTCCCTCAGTGCTCTTCAGTTTTGTTTTTTTTGTTTGTTTTTTTGCCTTCCCTTCAAATCTCCCATTGGATCAATTAAACCTTGTTGCTAAAGCTAACCACTCACCTGTGCACTTTATCATCTTTCTCATGACTTTTCACTACTCCTTCTTGACTGTTCAAACAAAAACCACCCCATCTCTTGACCTCTCTCTGCCCCTCTCCTCCCTGCATTACTTCTCTCCCCTCACTCACTCTTCAGACATCTACAGTTTGGCTTCTGTCACTACACTCTACAAGGACAGCTCTTCTCATCAAATCCCACTGGCGTTCATACTTCCTGACTAGTCTATAGCACCCAGTGCTGACCTCAACCATCTTGGTCCTCTGCTGAAAGGACCTGCTATCTCTAAAGTAACATATAGTCTGTATTGCACTTTCTTTAGTTTTTGGAGGCATTACGAATTTGTGGACAGAGAGCCACCGTCCAGTCAGGAAAGACCAGGTTGAAATCCCATCTCACACATATACCTGGCCCTTCAAGTAAACACTAGGCAGCTCTGTGACTGTACATTAGAAAAGAAGATGCCAGCCTGCTTGGCTAAAAGGAGTTTTCTCAGCTAAGAGTTCTGTATATCATGGAAATCCCGGGTCTAGACCCTTTTCTTTTTAGCTCTTTAATATGGGTGAGCAGAGCTAAGTGGAGTTTCTTATGCCATGGCCTAGTCCTGTTACTATTAACTATGTGCACACATTTGGGCTGGGCTTGGACAGCCGGGCTTCAAGCCTTGCTCTGACATAGGCAAGCCCTGTGACCCTCAGTTTTGCTGAACCAAGGAAATGAAGGGTGATTATTTTTAAGGTGCTTATTAAATTACTTTGGGCAACTACAAGTAATATTTTAAACTTTTGGCTGAGGTGGCATTAAGGAATTTTCTGTGGCCATATTCTCAAATAGTCTCAGACTAATAGTCTCTTCTAGTAAATTGGGCCAACAAAGAGAAAGAGTACTCCTTTGCTTCATACCAACATTGTAGGAGTACTAGGTGCTAAGGAAAATGCTGAGAGGATCTGGCATTGTTCTTGTCCTGGGAGCTTTACCTTTTTGTTGCACAGATAATAAATGTCCAGGAATTAGCATTATGCAAATTACAGCGTGATAAATAGTTAGGATACGGACACACTAATACTCAGGCAGAGGGGGAATTACAGATAAGGAATATATCTGAGATCCCTTAAACCACTGTTCCCAGGGCCCACAGGTAAGGGCAGAGTTGTATCCTTGAGCTTCTACTAAATTCCCACTATTTGTAGGTTATTACTTACTGTGCCTAAAGTCAATAATCTGGCCTCCCAAATTAACAAGGCTCTTAACCTTTGTCAAAGGCCTCAGTGGATATGGGTCCCCCACTTGTACAGGAAATGTCCTACCTACCTAATCTGCCATATATTACTCAAACTCCTTCCCTAGGCTTAACAAAACACCTAAATTGTGTGTGTGTTTTTCTCTTTCTAGGTCTAACAACTATCTGAAGATAAAAAATAAAATAAACTTAAGTAATATGTGGACAGCAAGCTGTGTGGATGAAGTGAGTGAAGGGAAGACCAATACTGGGAAGTCATTTGTTTTAGGATGGCCCATTGTCAACTTCCTTGCCACTTTCAGGTAGGAACTAAAATGTGACACTGATGATTGTGTTATTTCTCTTCTTTTTCCTTTAGGGACTTGCTGTTCACTGCTCCGCTATAGCATTCACAAAGGGTTCACAGAGCAGAGAAGTAATGCTTGCTCTATTTGGCTTCAGAAGAGAAAATCAGAGTAGAGTTTGTGGGGTGGCAAATTTTGGCTATAATGTAGGAAAATAATAACTTCCTAACAACTAGAACTGTCCAAAGAGGAATGAGCTGCCATTGGAGAGAGTGAGGCCCCTGCTCAGTTACTCACAGGTTTAGAGGCTATCTACTCCGCCCTTCTCATTTTACACATGAGGAAATGAGACCTGTGGAGGTGAAGTGACTTGTTCAAGCTCACATAGGCAACAAGCAGCAGAAGTGGGATTTGAACCCAGGTCTTCTGCCTACAAGGGTAGTACTCTCTCTGCTGTACCATGTTATCCATCTCCATGTCCTCTTTGTCAAGAATAGTGTCTTTCTGGGGGCAGCTAGGTGGCACAGTGGATAGAGTATTGGCCCTGGAGTCAGGAGGACCTGAGTTCAAATCCGGCCTCAGACCAAACACTTGACACTAGCTGTGTTACCCTGGGCAAGTCACTTAACCCCAATTGCCTAAAAAAAAGAAAAAAGATTCCCTAAAAATTAGAATTGAACAAGTGAAAGCTAATGGCTTTATAAGATATCAAGAATAAAACAAAATCAAAAATGTAACAAAAAAAATTAAGACAATGCCAAATTTCTCAATAGAAAAACAAATGACCTAGAAAACAGATCCAGAAGAGACGATATAAGAATTACTGGGCTACCTGAAAGGCATGATAAAAAAAAAAGTCTGCACAACATATTTCAAGAAATTATCAAAGAAAATTGCCCTGATATATTAGAACCAGAGGGCAAAATAGAATCAAAAGAATCCACCCATTACTACCTGAAAGAGATCCCTAAATAAAAAATTCTCAAACATCATAGCCAAATTCCTGAGCTCACAGATGAAGGAGAAAGTACTGCAAGCAACCAAAAAGGAACAATTCAAATATCATGGAACTACAGTGAGGATTACAAAGGTTTGGCAGCTTACATATTAAAGAATGGCAGGGAATGTGATATACTGGAAGGCAAAGGAGTTAGCATTACAACCAAGAATCACCTACTCAGACAAACTGAATATAATCTTTGAAGGAAACAATTTGGATATTTAATGAAATAGAGGACTTTCAAGCTTTCCTAATTAATAGATCAGAGCTGCATAAAAAATTGAACCTCCAGGGGCAGCTAGATGGTGCAGAGGATAGAGCACTGGCCCTGGAGTCAGGAGGACCTGAGTTCAAGTCTGGCCTCAGACACAGAACACTTACCAGCTGTGTGACCCTGGGCAAGTCACTTAACCCATTGCCTAGCCCCCCACCAAAAAAAAATTGAACCTCCAATACAAGATTGAAGGGAAACATAAAAAGGTTAAAAAAAAATCAAGACAGGGAAACCATAAGACATTCAGTAAGGTTAAACTGTTTATATTTCTATATGGCAAGATAATATTTGGAACTCTTAAGAACTTTATTAATATAAGAGCAATTAGACAGAATATATGTAGAGAGGGGTTGTGGATATACAATGACATTAATGGGATGATACCTCCAAAAAAACAAAATAAAGGGGTGAGAATGAAAATTACACTGAAGGAAGAAGGGGGGAAATTGAAGGGGGTAAATGATACCACAGAAAAGAGGCATGAAAGAGTTATTGTAATGAAGGGAAAGATTGGGGAAGTGGGTTGGCAGGCAAAACTTAAACATTTCTCTCATCAAAATTGGCTCAAAGAGGGAATAACATACACATTCAGTTGGATACAGAAATCTATCTTACTCTATAAGGAAATAAAAAGGGATGAAGATAATAGAAGGGGAAGGGGGGACTGATAAAAGGGAGAGTAGATTGGGGAAGGCAGTGATCAGAAAGAAGTAAAGCACTTGTGAGGAGGGAAAGGGTAGGGGAGTATAAGACAGAAACGGGGTAAACAAATGAAAAACAGCATGGAGGGAAATGCACAGTTAGTTATCATAACTATAAATGTGAATGGGATGAGCTCATAAGATGGAAATGGATAGCAGAATGGATTAAAAATCAGAATCCTACAATATGTTGTTTAGCAGAAACACATTTGAAGCAGGGAGATATACACAGGGTAAAGATAAGGGGCTGGAGCTGAAGCAAAGAAAGCAGGAGTACTAATCATGATCTCAGAGAAAGTAAATGCAAAACTAGATCTAATGAAGTCCTATCAATATTAAACATATATGCACCAAATGATATAGCATCTAAATTTCTGATGAAGAAGTTGAATGAGTTACAGGAGGAAGGAGATAATAAAACTATATTAGTAGGGGACCTCAACTTTCCCTTCTCAGAACTCGATAAATCACACCAAAAAATAAACAAGAAAGAAGTTAAGGAGATGAAAAAAATTCTGGAAAAATTATCTTGGATAGATCTCTGGAGAAAACTGAATGGGAAGAGAAAGGAATAGGCCTTTTTTCTCAGCTGTACATGGCACCTACACAAAAATTGACCATGTATTCAGAGGTAAAAATCTCACAACCAAATGCAGAAAAGTAGAAATAGTCAATGCATCCTTTTCAGATCATAATGCAATAAAAGTTACATTCAATAATGGACAATGGAAAGAGAGATTACAAATGAACTGGAAAGTAAATAATCTCACCCTAAAAAATAAGGGGGTCAAAAAACAAATCATAGAAACAATAATTTCATTAAAGAAAATGATGACAATGATACAATATACCAGAAAGTATGGGATGAAACCAAAGTGGTACTTATGGGAAAATTTAGCCTACATCAATAAAATAGAGAAAAAACAGATGCATAAACTGGGCATGCAACTAACAAAACTAGAAGAACAAATTAAAAATGTCCAATTAACCACCAAATTGGAATCCTAAAAATCAAATGAGAGATCAATAAAATGAAAAGTGAGAAAACCACTGGACTAATAAATAAAACTAGAAACTGTTTTAATGAAAAAAAAAACAACAGTAGAATAGATAAACCATTGGTTAATTTTATCTTAAAAAGGAAAGAAGGAAACCAAATTACTAGTATTAAAAATGAAAGGGGTGAATTCATCACCAATGAAGAGGAAATTAAGACAACTGTTAGGAGGTATTTTGCCCAATTGTATGCCAATAAATTCGACAATCTAAATGAAATGAATGAATACCTAATAAAACTATAAATTACCCAGATTGAGAGAAGAAATAAAGTACTTAAATAACCTAGTCTTATGAAAAGAAATTGAATCAATCAACAATGAACTTTCTAAGAACAAAACCCCAGGCCAGATGAATTCACAAGCAATTTCTACCAAACATTGAAAGAACAATTAATCCAAATACTATGTAAACTATTTGGAAAAATAGGCAGAGTCTTACCAAATTCCTTTTATGACACAAATACGGTTCTGATAGCTATACAAGGAAGAGCCAAAACAGAGAAGGAAAATTACAGACCAATTTTCCCTAATGAATGTTGATGCACAAATTTTCAATAAAATACTAGCAAAGAGATTACAGCAATATATCACAAGGATCATACACTATGACCAGCTGGGATTTATGTCACGAATGCAGGGCTGGTTTAGTATTAGCAAAACTATGAGCATAATTGACCATATTCATAACAAAACCAACAGAAATCATATGATTATCTCAATAGTTGCAGAAAAAGCCTTTGACAAAATACAACACCCATTCCTATTAAACAAAAAAAACATCAGGGAACATAAGAATAAATGGAGCTCACCTTAAAATGATAAGTAATATTTAACGAAACCCATCAGCAAGTATTAACTATAATGGAGATAAGCTACAAGCCTTCCCAATACAATCAAAGTGGAAGTATGGGATACTTCATTAGTATGGGCATTCTTAGCCCATTATCACCTCTATTATTTCATATTGTACTAGGAATGTTAGCTATAGCAAAAAGAGAAGAAAAAGAAAAAAAGGAATTAGGATAGGCAATGAAGAGACAAAACTATCACTCTCTCAAGATGATATGATGTTATACTTAGACAATCCTATCGAATCAACTGAAAAACAAAGTACTTGAAATTATTAACAACTTTAGCAAAGTTTCAGGATACAAAATAAAGCCACATAAATCATCAGCACTTCAGTATATTACCAGCAAAGTCCAGCAGCAAGAGACAGGAAGAAAAATTCCAAAAGATTGGTTATCCATCTTCATTAGTGCAGGTAGTTTCCATGCTAGGAGTTGCCTACACCAATGAAATCATGATGATGCACAGATATCTATAACGTGCAGCATTCAGTGTTAAGTATATTAGAGCAAGATCAACAGACTGTAATAGGAGATCCAAGGGGAAAGAGCATTGTTGGCAAGGTGGGACTAGAGAAGACATTGATCCATGTGTCCCTAGGCCATGACAAAATAAATTGTTAACTTTGTGCACTTAATTTAGTCCCTATGTAACTGTTGATAATTTTTGTTTTGTTTTGTTTTTAAAGGGGGCCAAGAGGTTGAATCAGGATGCCCAGCTTCAGAGGAGCTTTGGGCACTTGCTCATTTGCTCACAAATCTTCAAGTTGGTTCCCCTTGGCATCTTTGAGGGAAATCCTATGGGTAGCAGCAGCCTTTAGGCTCTTAACTGCATCAGGGGCATTATGGGTGCTTGAAAGAAAATGGCACAGCCCCTGACAGTTACTCCACATCAATTCCATATTTTCTGTGTCCTGATGGCTTTGCAACCCTGAACTATTGACTAGCCATGTGTCCTTCACACACATTTCTTTCATTCGGACCCACCTTTTTTTTTGGCTAACTAGGTAGAAGGTGCTGTAATAATTTATGACAGCTGGAGCTTCATCAGTGTGTTGGGATCTCTGTCAGAAGAACATGGAAAGGACAGCATGGGGGGCTTAAGTTTAGTGAGACCAAGTAGGACTGGGATGAAGGGCACCATTGCTGCTCCCTTAAAATATCTGCATTACAGCAAAATTTGGAACACAGAGGCCTTTGGAGATAGGATGGGATGAGAGCTATTACCCTCAGCCCATGAGGGAGTGGCCCACCAACAGGTACTCCATTCTTAAACCCCAGGAATCTATTTATCCAGTCTGTGAAGGGTTTCTGCTGCTCACTGATTCCTACAGCCTTGCTTTCATCCCCTTCCTATGACGGTTTTCCCATTGCCCATTCCTGACAGAAGACAATGGCAGAAGAGAAGACGGAGAGTGGACAGAGTTGTTCCCAGCAAATGTTGTCAATTCTTAACTGTCCAGGGTCACATCCAGTATGTGAATGATCTGGCCAGCTCGATCCCCAGCTGTCTCTCTTGTCAGTGTAGAACATTTTCCAGCCTAACTAGACTATTCCATCCTTCAGACATTCCCTGAGCTTTCCTATCTCTGTGTCCAATACCTAAAATGCCTTTCTTCCTCCTCTTCACCTGCTAACCTTCCTTTATTTTTTCTAATTTGTTTTGCTGTCCCTTGTTTGTCCATCAAGTACATTGCAAAAGAAAAAAAAAAGCAGTTAAGTACAACTAACCCATACATCAAAAAAATCTGACAGGATATTCACTGCTCCATATCCATAACCCCCAGCCCACACACACACTCTGCAAAGGCTCAGAGGAGGTGCCTTCTCATCTTTCTTCTTTTGGGGTTGACCTTAGGCACTATAAATTCACAGCATTCAGTTTTGCTTGCTTTTGGTTGTGCACTCCATTTACATTGCTGTAGTCCCTGTATCTATTGTTTTCCTGGTTGTGTTTACTTCACTTTGAATCAGCTGAAATAAGTCTTCCCGTAGGTCACTGAATAAATAATAACCCATTACGTTCACAAACCACATCATGTTTAGCCATTTCCCAATCGATGGGTACAAATTGTGTTTGCTTGTTGTGTGTTGTTGTTCAGTCATGTCCAACTCTTCGTGGCCCCATTTGGGGTTTTCTTGGCAAAGATACTGGAATGGTTCGCCATTTCCTTCTCCAGCTCATTTGTATTGATGAGGCCACTGAGGCCAACGAGGTTAAACGACTTGCCATGTTCACACAGATAGTAAGTGTCTTGAGGCCAGATTTGAACTCAGGACGATGAGTCTTCCTGACTCCAGGTCTGGAGCTCTACCCACTGCACCATGCAGTCAGGATAACTCATCATCTCGAGTGTACCTTGTAGTAGAGTTTTTGCCTTAGCTTCCCTAAGATTAGACGTTATGTCTTCCCAAAATATCATTTCTCTCCTGGTGCCAAGCAGAGAGTTTTGTGCCCAGCAGACACTTAATAAATTATGGATAAATGGAGACATGAGTGGTTGGATCATTGAATCAGGAAAGTGCAGAGCTTGCAACCACTATCTGACTATAATTGCATTAGAACTGATTTGCCATATCTCTCCCTGTTCCTCTGTTCTTCCTTTTTTGTAAGGAATTAGCAGAATAAGAGAGATATGCTCAGATGTCAGCACAGGACCTTTAAGCTGTATAAAATGTTGAAGTTTTCTTCTTTTGTCTTCCTCAAGGAAGGACAAAATAAGAAAACATGTGCTCCTTGCTACTCTGAGAATAGAGAACTCAGTTTCTACTACAGAATATTCCTCTGGACCTGTGAATGATGATTATTGCCCAACAAAGTTTATATGCACTTTTTAATGCATGGGGCAGATAGGAGGCTCGGCAGATAGAGTGCCAGGTCTGGAGTCAGGAAAACATGAGTTCAAATCTGGCCTCAGCCACTGCTGTATGACCATGCACAAGTCACTTATCCCTGTTTGTCTCACTTTTCTCATTTGTAAAATGAGCTGGAGAAGGAAGTGGCAAGCCACGTCAGCATCTTTGCCAAGAGAAACCCAAATGGGGTCACCAAGAGTCAGACATGCCTGAAACAACTCAACAACATCTCCCAGACAGAAACTGATCGCCATTCCAGTACACTGCACACACTTTCACGACAAGGTAGCTACGGTATAACTTTGTGACCAAGCTATTCAAAGTCCATTATTTGGACCTTTCTCTTCTAGGTCATGAGTATCCTTATGGAATCAAAATGAGCCACCTTCGAGACACTTCATTCCTGACACAGGGATCAAAGGACTCACCATCCCCTTTGGACTTCCAGGAATCCTTCCTCATGGAGCAGCTGCCCCGGGAGATGCAGTGCCAGTTTATACTGAAGCCCAGCCGCCTGGCCAGGAGCCAACCACTGACCGGTGAGTGGCTTCCCCTCACAGGGGTGTGTTCAGCACTAAGTGTGCATACCTGAAAACTGCTGTTATTCCAGGATGAATTATTTGAGGCAAGAGATGAGGGGGAACAAATTCTAGCCAGATAAGGAGCTTTTTCTGTCAGATTACTCTCTATTTACACATTTACACTTAACTGAGAAAAGGTGAGACTTCTCAGAAAGGGTCATGTTAGTTAGCAGTATACATCAGTGGACAGATAGCAACAGTATTTTCTATTGTTCCTTTTCGACATTTCCCTTTTTACTTTAAGCCTCTGCTCACTAGAAAGACTGAAACCAGGTGACATTATCGGTACTTCCTCAGCCCCTCTTTTTGCAAACCTTCTTCTCCTGTCATCACACACACTACTGCATCAGTATTTAAGTACACAAGATGCGGAATCAGGGATACCTGAGTTCAAATCCTGCCTCAGATAATTACTAGATGTGTGACTTTGGGCAGGTCACTTAACCTCTTTTTGCCTCAGTTTCTTCATCTATTAAATGGAGATAATGATAACACCTACTTCACAAGTTTGTTGTGAGGATCATATGAGATGATATTTGTAAAGTGCATGGTAAACCTTAAAACATTTCTAAGTATTGTTGTTATTGTCCCCTAATGGATAAATCATGGGAATTAGGGCATGAGGAAGGTGTGTGTCAGTAGGCTGAGGTACCCTGCTTGGTGGCTGATATTTATGAAAATAAAGCTAGATGGAAGCAGAATATTCCAGTGATGCTGGGGAAATCTCTGCCTGGCTTTCTGAACCATGTGAGTTCACATATGCCCATTTTCATCACGTTGTCATATTCTAGACTGTACAGTTTTCTTCCACCTCACAATCATAGAAGACAATATGAAAGGATTGGAGCTGGGGGTAACCTTAGAGATCATCTAAGCTAGCCCCATCATTGTACAAATAAGGAAATGAAGATTCAGAGGGTGACCTGCCCAAAGTCACACAGCTAACAGGCAGCAGACTTGGGATGCCTGAAGCTTAGGTGTCCTAAGGACAAATCCTGGACTCTTTCTACTGCCCAGGCTGCTTTCTCTCTTAGACTCTGGATTCAAAAGAATACAACATAATTAAATTGGTAATTACCGTGCTACTAATTTGAGCTTCAAGTTAAAAGCCTTAAGAAATTAGGAAGCATCTTGAAAACCACATACTAATCATCTTCGTATCCTTTCCCATTTTCTCTTCCTTCTCCCTTCCCAATACAAACCACACACATCTAACACAAAGTTACAGCATCAACTTTTCTCGACACTTCAGATTTCAAGGAAAGTATGTTTAGATAGAGCTTTGAAAAAGGAAAACAATATCCCAATTTTTGGCCCAGAGAACGTAATATATACTCAGTCAAGTTAGATAATGTCGCACAATATACCTTCCTTGTTGTTGTTAGATCCCCCCTCATATACTTGAAGCATCTGGAAGCCAAGGCCCATAGAGTAGCTAAGTTTTGTATAGCTCCTGCCACTGTACAGAGTCAGCACCTAATGAATGTCACATGTATATACACACACACATGGTTTTCAATAACTGCTTCTTCAATTGAAGAGCCCTGATTCCAAAGATTGAGTTGTAGGTAAAACTGGAGAAAACGGATTCCAGAGCACCATACAATGAAAACAAATTGAAAACTATTTTCATCCAGTTAGTTTGAAAAATGGCTTTTTCACCATAGTATTTTCATACTGGTTGAGAGCTCATATTACATACTCTACTGCCTACATGAGGAGAGAGTAAAAGTACATAAGAAGTGTGAACTAAAATGAATGTTCAGAGGAGAGAGGGATGTCTTTTAGATGGGGCTACAGGACAGGAATGGATCAGAGAATGCTAAGAGAATGAGCAAGGTAGGGTTTTTCTTGGGAGTGCAGGGGTGAGGCTGAAGACAAAGAGAGGCAACTAGGTTTGGAGCAGTCCCTCTGAAAACTTCTTAGTTCCCTTTGGCTAAAAATGGGCTTAAACAGTAGCATTCAGACATGAGCTCATTTTAATCCATTTAATTCAGCACACAGTTTTTTAAAGTACAACTGAACACTAAGCATTGAGGTTATAGAAACAAAAAATAATCCCTATCCTCCAGTGCTTGAATTCTTTGGCGAGACATAACTTGTAAAAAAGATAAACAAATGTTAGACTGGGGAAAGACTGGTACTGTGGAGAGAACAGGGGCCCTGGGGTCAGAAGATGTGGGTTCAAATCCTGTCTCTGATGCTTGCTACTTGACTGTCTCTGGGCAAATTGCTTAACCTCTCTGGTCCTCAGTTTCCTCATCTGTAAAGTGAAAGGGTGAACTAGGTGGCTTCTTCTCAGCCCTAAATCTGTGACCTTATGACAGTTTAAAAATTCAGGAAAGGAGATGGCATTTGAGATGACCCTGAAGGAAGCAAGATTATTCTAAGAGGAAGGAATATATGTTCAATTATGGGACACAGAAGCAGAAAGGCAAGAGATAGAATGCCAAATCTTGGGAGGAACAAGTGGGTCACTTTGGCTGGAATTTCAAGTATTGGGGAGATAGTAATGTGAGATAACCCTGGAAAATCAAATGCGAAACCATGGAGTTTCTATTTGATCCTCCAAATAATAATATAATAGCGGGCCACTGAAGTTTCTTGAACTGAGGAATGACATATCAGACTTGTGGATTAGAAATACTATTTTGGCATCCATGTGGAGGATGTATCAGTGGGGGAGGGGACTAAAATCAGAGAAACAAGGAGGCTAGTGCAATAATGTAAGCAAAAAGTGATAAGAGCCGGAACTAGGACATAACAAAATGCAGTTTAAGTAAGGGAAATGGAAGATCAAGAAAGGATGCTTAACTTCCCAGCTAACCTGTAGACTCTTCTAGGACTCACTTCTGTGCTGCTTTAGATGTTTATTATTATTTCAATGTTTCATTTACATATCTTCCCAACGAGATTCTAGATTCTTCAGAGCACTTTGATATGTCCCAAGCTGTCTAGCACAGTAGGCATTCCCCAAAAAAAATCCTTACTGAATTAACCTAGTCAATTCAATTCAATTCAATTCATTCTAACTCAATTAATGTAGTTAATTCAATTCCAAGACTCACTGGTGCTCCTCATTAATGTTGTTGTTAGCAGAAGACAGAGTCCTCCCTCTCACAGAGTTCATAATTTATCAGGGTAGTAGGGGCACAGGATATGATGTGTGTACGTGAAAAGTGGAATATACAGGCAATAGTATATGTTCAAATACCAAGTAAGGGGTGCAGATAGCAAAAACTGTAAGAATTTCAAAGTTAAAATAAGGGGGGAACCTAGCTGGTGCAATGGATAGAATACCAGTCCTAGAGTCAGGAGGACCTGAGTTCAAATTTCACCATTTAACACTTACTAACTGAAAGGAGGAGAAGAAGGCAAAGAAATCATCTTTGGCATGAAGTAAGTTGGGAACGCTTCATGTAAGGATTTGAAGCTGGCCTTTGAAGAAAGAGTATGGATAATCAGGGAAGAACAGGGAGGGCATTCCAGTTAAGAAGCACAGCAGAAGCAAAGCTATAGAGATAGGACCGTGTGAGCTCTGTTTAGGGTAGCTAGAGTGAGTGGAGCAATCTGGCTGCACAAGAATATTTATAGTAGGAAATATAGGGAGATAACTTTAGGAAGGTAGGTTGGGGTCAGATTGAGACACACCTTCCTAGAGGAAAGGGGAGGATCAAAACACAGATGGAGGCATAACTTTGGAAAGTGGAAAACATGTCTTCCTCGGAGAGGGAAGGAAAGCATATTAATACTAGCAAATACCTGTAGCACTTTGGGATTTACAAAGTACTTGATACTTATCATTTCATGTTACCTTCACAACTCCCTTCTGAAGGAGGTCATCATAGAAATGTTATCACACCAATTTTACAGAAGACAAGAAAAACACAGAGAGGCTAACTGAGGTGAAAAGAAGAATGAAAGGTCCTTGAGGGCAGAGGCTGTTTTTATTTTTGTCTTCTTATCCATGGAGCTTTGTTCAACTCTGTGTTTGTTGGATTGGATTGAATGAAAGAATGAGAATGAATGAAAGCACTGCTAGCAACAATGGGGGCCAAGGGAAGTTACATATGATGGAAATGTAATGAGCCCTGTCTGCAGAATTCTATGACTTTCTCTATCGGTTCAGTACTTTATACTTGAGATTAGGAGTGGACAAGTGATCCTTACAAGGCAAGATGTCAAGTTTCATGTTTGAGAGACAATGTTTTCAGTGGAAGAACAGCTATGGGTCTGTATTTCTGTGCTTCTAATCAACTACTGGGATACACTCGAGGCTCTAACTCAAAATAATGTCATATACCCATTTTACAAGTATGTTGACTGAGGCAGGCCATAAGTAATCAAACCTCAGACCAATTTAGGTCAGTCATTAGGAATTCATAAATTTGAAGGTTTTATACCAATGAGGCCATCTTTATGCCTTCTGTTATGGGATCCCAGACTGACAGATAAAAGAGGTCCTCAAGGTCACCTAACCTTACTTTCTCATTTGAGAGTTAGAGAAATTTAGATCCAGAGAGGTTAAGTTATATGCACATATTCACACAGGTAGGGAGTAACAGAGCCAGGGTTCTCACATTGCAAATACAGAATGTTTTTCTACTCTGCCACATTGATTCCCCAAATCCTCCTAACTGCACCAGATATCAGTTATCCTCCAAAATGGTTGGCATCATCACCGGCCAGTCAATGTAGTACTTTGTTGTAGTTTTATGTAGACACTAATGGGAAAGCAGTGACATTATAGGTGTGCCCTGCCTTAAAAAAATTTAATTTCCAAATAGCTAGATTTAAAAACTAGACAAGGGAAAGGGTTTATTAATTCATATTATGAAAGTTCTCCTTACTTTCTCAACTGAGAATTCTCAACTCAGAATTCAGTCTAGGGTTCCTTGAAATAGAAGCCTCCGGTTGCATTTGAAAAGACGTCATTTTTCATCTCATTTGTACACAGT